GCAACTGAGCCTCACTTCCCCAGTCGATGTGATGGAGACCTCTCCCACACCCATGTCTTAGATCTCTTTCTCCCAAAGTGAGGCTGTCCAGATGTTTTGGATGGCCATCTATTATTGCCAGGCAATGAGCAGCCTCCAGATGATGGAAGTTAGTAACGCCATCCTTGTTCTTTCCTTGTAGCGTAGAGCTAGACACATTTAACAACACAATGTCTACATTTCTTGATGGTAAGTCATTTTCTGCCATCTATAAAAACATCAGGTTGCTATGAATTTTCCAGACTGTCTGGCCACGTTCCAGAAGCATTCTCTCCTGACGTTTCACCCACATCTATGGCAGGCATCCTCAGAGGTTGTGAGGTATATTGGAAATTAGACAAGGGAAGTTTATATATAAGCGAACACCCCCAGGCAGGAATCTGCCAGGTCTTGAAGCTGCAAGACTTTGCAATGCTAATCAAGGTGATTAATTGCAACATTCACACTTGCCTCCAACAGACAAGAGTTCCTTGTCATAGAATCATAGAATCAAAGAGTTGGAAGAGACCTCATGGGCCATCCAGTCCAACCCCCTGCCAAGAAGCAGGAATATTGCATTCAAATCACCCCTGACAGATGGCCATCCAGCCTCTGTTTAAAAGCTTCCAAAGAAGGAGCCTCCACCACACTCCAGGGCAGAGAGTTCCACTGCTGAACGGCTCTCACAGTCAGGAAGTTCTTCCTCATATTCAGTTGGAATCTCCTCTCTTGTAGTTTGAAGCCATTGTTTTGTGTCCTAGTCTCCAGAGCAGCAAAAAACAAGCTTGCTCCCTCCTCCATGCGGCTTCCTCTCACATATTTATACATGGCTATCATATCTCCTCTCAGCCTTCTCTTCTTCAGGCTAAACATGCCCAGCTCTTTAAGCCGCTCCTCATAGGGCTTGTTCTCCAGACCCTTGATCATTTTGGTCACTCTCCTCTGGACACATTCCAGCTTGTCAATATCTCTCTTCAATTGTGGTGCCCAGAATTGGACACAATATTCCAGGTGTGGTCTAACCAAGGCGGAATAGAGCATGGGTAGCATGACTTCCCTGGACCTAGACACTATGCTCCTATTGATGCAGGCCAAAATCCCATTGGCTATTTTTGCCGCCACATCACATTGTTGGCTCATGTTTAACTTGTTGTCCACGAGGACTCCAAGATCTTTTTCACACGTACTGCTCTCAAGCCAGGCATTTTCCCCCATTCTGTATCTTTGCACCCTGGACCTTCAGCAGATATATAAACCTCCCTTGTCTAATTTCCAACATACCTCACAACCTCTGAGGATGCCTACTATAGATCCAGGTGAAACGTCAGAAGAGAATGCTTCTAAAACATGGCCATACAGTCTGAAAAACCTACAACAACCCAATAACAACAAAGTTGGAGGTTCTCTTGAAGTTCTTTCCAACTCACCTAACTTTTCAACTGAATCATATATGATCATTTATGCAAGGGCAGACATGTTTTGGATACCTCTGTTCCACTAAACTCAAACAGCAAGGGTTTTAATTACACTTTAATTGCAATCACCTTATGAGTCACCATCGGCAGATAAGAACTACTTCCAGGTGACAAACGACGAAGTTCACAAAACATGACTTTTTCTTTCCAGTCGCAAATTATTATTAAAGCTTCATAAAAATGAACGAGGACAACGAACTTTGTGGGACATGTTTACATGCCTACTTGAACCCATGATTTTTCAATGCCACATTCAGTCCATTGCTAGAATGAAGTTTGCTTGGCTCATCTGCAAGCAATGTTTGCTCATTTCTTCTAAACTGGATGCAAATGAAGTACTACCTTCTTTAATGATTCAGCAGCATATTAATAGTACCACTCACCTCAAAGAGTAGGAAACCAACCAAAGATGAAGAAATAATTGCAACAAACATTTAATTAAAAGAAATAATGTCTCGTCATATAAATATAGTAAATAATAATAAATAAATATAAGACTGCGAGACTCAGCCATTGTCTCTTGATAGACCCTCTCTGCTATAGAAGTGGGTTGATGTGAGTTTTCTGGGCTGTATGGGCATGTTCCAGAAGCATTCTCTCCTGACATTCCAGAAGCATTCTCTCCTGACCTCACAACCTCTGAGGATGCCTGCCATAGATGCAGGTGAAATGTCAGGAGAGAATGCTTCTGGAACATGGCCATAAAGCCCAGAAATCTTAAAACAACCCAGTGATTCTGGTCATGAAGGCCTTCAATAATAGATTGCTATAGTAGGGTTGGTTAGATTATACTAAGGATGTTTTTAAAAGTTATTATTTGCTTTGATTATTCAATAATACAATCTTGAGGCAAAGCTAACTTAAGAAAGCCTCCATTATGTAGGTAAAGGTAAAAGTTTTCCCCTGACATTAAGTCTAATCACGTAGGACTCTGGAGGTTGGTGCTCATCTCCATTTCTAAGCCGAAGAGTTGGCGTTGTCCATAGACATCTCCAAGGTCATGTGGCCAGCATGACTGCATAGAGCGCTGTTAGGTATAAATTATCAGAAAAATCAAGGAGCCCCCTTGGCACAATGGGTTAAACCCTTGTGCCAGCAGGACTGCTGAACGAAAGTTCAGCGGTTCAAATCAAGGGAGCAGGATGAGCTCCTGTCTGTCAGCTCCAACTTCTCATGTGGGGACATGAGAGAAGCCTCCCACAGGATGGTAACACATCCAGGCATCCCCTGGGCAACGTCCTTGCAGGTAGCCAATTCTCTCACCCCAGAAGTGATTTGCAGTCACTCCTGACATGAAAAAAATAAATAATTAAAATTGGGTTCTATAAGTTCACTATGTAATTTTTTTCCCGAAGGCATTCCACCCTTATTTCCTTGTTCATCTGTTTTTAATGATAGGAAAAAGTTTAATCTTGCTATACAGGAAAAGCAGAAAGACACACCTCTAGAAAAGTAATTAAAGGACTGGGAGTCCACTCCCATGCATATTGATTCACGAACACACCCCATTTTGTCCAATGGTATTTGGTCCCGTGTAACCATCCACAGTTCTGCAGCTTGAAGCAATAAGTAGAGTCTCACTTATCCAACATAAACGGGCCAGCAGAACGTTGGATAAGCGAAAATGTTGGATAATAAGGAGGGATTAAGGAAAAGCCTATTAAATGGCAAATTACGTTATGTTTTTACAAATTAAGCACCAAAACATCACGTTTTACAACAAATTGACAGTTCAATACATGACAACGTTATGTAGTAATTACTGTATTTACGGATTTAGCACCAAAACATCGCAATGAATTGAAACAGCTGTGGATCTGGGCAGGAAGCAGACTGCATTGGCTAATACAAAATGTTGGATGAGCAAAGGTTGGATAAGCGAGATTTTAGTGAACAGGGTTCCATATCTGAGAGCCTTCTGAAAACAATGCAATCTTCAGGAGTTCCAATTCATTCTGAGCTATCAGAGCAACATTCAAGGTGCACCTACACCATAGAATTAATGCAGTTTGACCCCACTTTGGCTGTCATGGCTCAATGGATTCTCCGGAGTGATTTCACAAGGTTTTTCGCCTTCTCTGCCAAAGAGTGCTGATGCCTCACCACACTACAAATCCCAGGAGCCATGACACTTAAAGTGGTACCAAACCGCATTAGTTCTGCATGTGGATGCACCCTTAGTTGCGCCAGACCACTGCAAACATGAGAACAATGGCATGAAGAACAATAGAGACTAAGCACACGCACTCCATTCCTCTTTGCCTCCCTCTAGATTCATTTTGTCTCTCAAGATGCCGAGCTGAGAGTGAGTCATTACCAGAGAAGAAAAAAGACAAGCCTCTCAGGGCCTTTTGGAGAATCTCTCAAGGGGAGGTTAAATCTTATACTCTGAAGTAGCCCAAAGCCCACAGAAACAGCCAACGAGACCACGGCAGAAGTCATGTGGTGCTCGCTAAGAAGAAGTCCACAAGACAAGGCAACATTCTCTTTGAAGTTAGCTTCAGGTAACAAATGGCAATACATGAGGTCACCACACAGACCCGAAAGGCAGGACTCTCCTCTTGTTTCTGCTAGCATCTGAAAACTTTATCAGAAACATCTGTCTCTCTATCTCAGGCCCCACTTACACTGCTATATAAAATCCAGATTTAAACTGGATTATATGAATCTACATTACCATGTAATCCAGTTTAAAGCAAATAATCTGGATCTTGTATGGCAGTGTAGCTGGGGCCTCAGTCAACTCCCAAAGGGCCCGGAAAGAGGAGGTGGGAGATTATGGGTACTGTAGAATACTCGCAGGAACACCTCAGCAAGCAAGAGTCCAAAAGTGGCAGGCTCAAACGCGGAACCTCAATCCATGGCTGATACCAAATGAGAGATTCCCTCCTAGGCACACAGAAGACTGAGCGACTTGGAAGGCACTGAACAGACTGTGCTCTGGCACCACGAGTTGCAGATCCAATCTTAAGAAATGGGACTAAGACATGGAAATTTGGAGAAGAGCAAACCACAGACCACCTACTACAACGCAGCCTGTGCCCCCCACATGCACAATGGAGGACCTTCTTATAGCAACGCCAGAGGAACTCCAAGTGGCCAGTTACAGGTCAAAAGACATTTAGTATAATGCCAAGTTTTTTTAAAAACTTTGTGTTTTAAAATACATTACAACTGTACCCTCGGTTCACTTCTGACATGATAAATAAATAAAATAAGTATTGCAGAATGAATGCCTTGGCCCAGGGAAGCTGTAGTTCAGTGATGCACCAACACTCTTGGACATAGATAGATAAAGACTTTATAAAACTATAACCCACATGTTTCCATAACACTGACCCACAGCAGTTCTGGCGAGATCAAGCTGCATTAATTCTACTGTGTTGATGTACTCCAAGTCTCCCCATGAGCTTTCCAAGTGAAGAGGGCAGTGAGTACACCAACTGATTCCTTTTCCACCCCCCTCAATAAAAATTAGAGAGTAAAAAAAAAGTCCCCAGTCCTTACCCTGGAGCCTGCGAACCTGCCGAGAGCTCGGTGCTGGCAACCTTGCCCCAATCCGAGGCTAGCACTGCTTCCGCCAGAGTGCTTCTTGCTCACCATCCAGTCCTCCAGTCCTTTGCGTGCCAGGGAGGCATTCACGGCAAAGCTGTCACCTGGAAGGGAGAGGAAGCAAAGCCAGAATGGGCACCTGGGCAACAGACAATGCCCAAGAGATCACCATCCACACTTCAGAAGTATTGCAGTTCCATACCACCTATGGACACTTGGGATTTGGAGTTACTGGCAGAGATGCCGAGAGATTACTATCCACACTACAGAAGTATCACAGTTCCATACCACCCATGGACACTTGGGATTTGGAGTTAGCTGTGTCTCTGGCAAAGATGCCGAGAGACTACCATCCACACCGCAGAAGTATGGCAGTTCCATACCACCTATGGACACTTTGGATTTGGAGTTAGCTGTGGCACTGGCAGTGATGCTGAGAGACCACCATCTGCACTGCAGTATGGTAGTTCCATGCCACCTATGGACACTTGGGATTTGGAGTTAACTGTGGCATGGTATCACAGTTCCATACCACCTATGGACACTTGGGATTTGGAATTAGCTGTGTCACTGGCAAAGTTGCCAGGAGACCACCATCCACACTGCAGAAGAATCGCAGTTCCATACCACTTATGGACACGTAGGATTTGGAGTTAAGTTGTGGAATGGTATCACAGTTCCATACCACCTATGGACACTTGGGATTTGGAGTTAGCTGGGTCACTGGCAAAGATGCCGAGAGACCACCATCCACACTGCAGAATAATCGAAGTTCCATACGACCTATGGGCACTTGGGATTTGGAGTTAGTTGTGGAACGGTATCACAGTTCCATACCACCTATGGACACTTGGGATTTGGAGTTATCTGTGTCACTGGCAAAGATGCTGAGAGACCACCATCCACACTGCAGAATAATCACAGTTCCATACCACCTATGGACACTTGGGATTTGGAGTTAGTTGTGGAACGGTATCACAGTTCCATACCACCTATGGACACTTGGGATTTGGAGTTAGCTGGGTCACTGGAAGAGAAAAATAAACACCTCACCAAAGGACACACTGAGCCATGGAAGTTAAGGTGGAGTGTTATAATAATTATGCAGTGTGGAAGCAGGAGGGGGAAAAACCGAAAAATTCCCAATAAATTATGAAATGGATAGAACTGGTTGTGAAATGCAAGCAAAGCATGAAAGAAGCTCCCCCAAATGTCCTTATTCTGACTCTAATCCCAATCGATTTCTCCCTCCCCATACTCACCCATGCCCCTAAAGGACCACCAAGGCTGAGTAAAAGAAGGGGAGAAAAGGAAGGCGGGGAAAGGGTTCCAGAAGCGAATCGGTGCCGGGGGCCCGTCCAGACAGCACAGAGAGATCGCGGCAACCTCGGGAGCCAATCCCTTCCCTTCCGAAGCAGCTCGCCTTTGACACATTCGCGGAGCCGCGCGCAAACTTTTCTCGCGCGGGGAGGGAGAGCAAGTCGGGGGAAAAGAAGAGAGAAAAGCTTTCGAAAAAGGCTCACCTTCCGGACTCTCTCGGGGTTTGCAAACGGCGGCTGAGGAGGCGTGGAAGGAGAAGATCCACGGGAAGATGGAGAGATCAAAGGGTTCCCAAGAAGAAGAAGAAAGGAAACAAAACGAGGCGATGGTTAGATTGTGTCTTTGGAGACCCTTTGGAGACTTGGGAAGCTCTGTCTCCATCTCCCTCCTCCCACCTCAGGTTTTTGGGGACCCGAAACACTCACCGTGTTTGGAGTGAAGTTTCCCCATCGCTCTCTGAGGATGGGGAAGGGTCTGCCGGGCCGTCAGTGGGGGGTTTGGGGCGGCTTCATGGCCTCTCGGGGGTCGGGATCGCGCGCGTAAAAGAGCGGCTCCTTCCCGTGCGTAAAAGCGCGACTCCTTCTCGTGCGTAAAAACGCAATTTGGAGAGGCGAGCTGGAAGGCTCCGGGAAGGCTTGGCTTCGGATCTTTTCCCCTCTTTTGCTCTTCCTCCGGCTTTTAGGGCTCCATGTGCTTCAAGCTTGGGCTGGAAGGAGKCGAGGGGGGRCCCCCAGCCGGCTTCCATGCGCGAGAACCGCGGGAGCGAGCGCCCAACTCGGCGTCTCCAAATCTCTCCAAGAGTCTCAGCCTCCTTCCTTCCTTTCCTCCTTCTCTCTCAATCTCTCCGTCCCTCTCTCTTTCTCTCCCCCCCCCCTCTTCCTCCTCCTCTTTCTCCTTCTCCTCCTCCTCCCCCCCCCCCAAAAGACAGAAGAGGCGGTCACAAAAGCCCTGCCTTCACCCAGCCGGGAGTGTGATTGACGCCTCCTGGAGCGCAGACCCCGCGCAGGCCAGGCGCCCGGGCCCCATTGGCGCGGGGCGGCACATGAAAGGCGGCCCGGCGGCCCTTTGGAGCCCGACCAAAAAATAATCTGGAAGGGGAAGAAAAAAAAGGAAAGAAAGAAAGAGAGGAAGAAAAAGGAACCGCAGCAGCAGCGGGAAGAGGAGGAGGAGGAGATTGAGCGGCGGCGGCGGGCTTTGGTGTCTTTCGTGCCGAGCCAGGCGCAAGCAGCAGAACTCAGAGCCAGAGAGAGAAAGAGAAAAAAGAGAGAGAGGAAGAAAGAGAGGAGAAAGAAAAAGGAAGAGAGAGAGAGAGAAAGGGGGAAAGGGAGACGAAAGAAAGAGGGAGGCGAGAGGAAGAGGCAGAGAAAGAAAGAGGGACAGAAAGGAAGAACCAGCCCCCCCTCTACACTGCCATGCAATCCAGATCATCAAAGCAAATAATCCACATTATTTGCTTTGAACTGGATTATATGAGTCCACACTGCCATATAATCCAGTTCAAAGAGAGGGCCCTTCCACACAACCAGAATACGAAGGCAGAAAATACTAGACTATCAAGGCAGAAAATCCCACAAGATCTGCTTTGGACTGGGTTATCTGAGTCTACACTGCCATATAAACCAGTTCAAAGCAGATAATCTGGATTATATATGGCAGTTTACAAGGGGCCTCAGGCCCCTTCCACACAGCCAGAATATCAAGGCAGAAAATCCCACCATATCTGCTTTGGACTGGGTTTTCTGAGTCTTCACTGCCATATAATCGGGTTCAAAGAGAGGGCCCTTCCACACAACCAGAGTACCAACGCAGAAAATCTGCTTTGGACTGGGTTATCTGAGTCTACACTGCCATATAAACCAGTTCAAAGCAAATAATCTGGATTATATATGGCAGTTTACAAGGGGCCTCAGGCCCCTTCCACACAGCCAGAATATCAAGGCAGAAAATCCCACAAAATCTACTTTGGACTGGGTTTTCTGAGTCTACACTGCCATATAATCGGGTTCAAAGAGAGGGCCCTTCCACACAACCAGAGTACCGACGCAGAAAATCCCACAAGATCTGCTTTGGACTGGGTTTTCTGAGTCTACACTTTCATATAATCCAGTTCAAAGCAGATAATCTGGATTTTATATGGCAGTTTACATGGAGCCTCTCTGAGGGCCCTTCCACACAGCCAGAATATCAAGGCAGAAAATCCAGAAAATACCAGAATATCAAGGCAGAAAATCCCACAAGATCTGCTTTGGACTGGGTTTTCTGAGTCTACACTGCCATATAAACCAGTTCACAGCAGATAATCTGGATTTGATATGGCAGTTTACATGGGGCCTCAGGCTTCTTCCACACAGCCAGAATATCAAGGCAGAAAATCCAGAAAATACCAGAATTTCAAGGCGGAAAATCCCACCATATCTGCTTTGGACTGGGTTTTCTGAGTCTACACTGCCATATAATCCAGTTCAAAGCAGATAATCTGGATTTTATATGGCAGTTTACATGAGGCCTCAGAGGGCCCTTCCATACAGCCAGAATATCAAGGCAGAAAATCCATAAAATACCAGAATATCAAGGCAGAAAATCCCACAAGATCTGCTTTGGACTGGGTTTTCTGAGTCTACACTGCCATATAATCCAGTTCAAAGCAGATAATCTGGATTTTATATGGCAGTTTACATGGGACCTCAGACCCCTTCCATACAGCCAGAATATCAAGGCAGAAAATCCATAAAATACCAGAATATCAAGGCAGAAAATCCGACAAGATCTGCTTTGGATTGGGTTTTCTGAGTCTACACTGCCATATAAACCAGTTCAAAGCAGATAATCTAGATTTTATATGGCAGTTTACACGAGGCCTCAGAGGGCCCTTCCACACAACCAGAATATCAAGGCAGAAAATCCATAAAATACCAGAATATCAAGGCAGAAAATCCCACAAGATCTGCTTTGGACTGGGTTTTCTGAGTCTACACTGCCATTTAAACCAGTTCAAAGCAGATAATCTGGATTTTATATGGCAGTTTACATGGGGCCTCAGGCCCTTTCCACACAACAAGAATATCAAGGCAGAAAATCCCACAAGATCTGCTTTGGACTGGATTTTCTGAGTCTACACTGCCATATAAATCAGTTCAAAGTACATAGTCTGGATTTTATATGGCAGTTTATATGGTGACTCAGAGGGACCTTCCACACAGCCCTATATCCCAGAATGTCAAGGCAGAAAATCCCAGAAGATTTGCTTTGGACTGGATTTTCTGAGTCTACACTGCCATATAAACCAGTTCAAAGCAGATAATCTAGATTTTATATGGCAGTTTACATGAGGCATCAGAGGGCCCTTCCACACAACCAGAATATCAAGGCAGAAAATCCATAAAATACCAGAATATCAAGGCAGAAAATCCCACAAGATCTGCTTTGGACTGGATTTTCTGAGTCTACACTGCCATATAAGCCAGTTCAAAGCAAATAATCTGGATTTTATATGTCCTAGAATATCCCAGAATATCAAGGCAGAAAATCCCACATTATCTGAGTGTGGACTCAGATAACCCAGTTCAAAGCAGATATTGTGGGATTTTCTGCCTTGATGTTCTGTGATATAGGGCTGTGTGGAAGGGCCCAGAGAAAGGGGGAAAGAAAAGGAGAAGGGAGAGAAAGAAGGACTGAGAGAGAGAGGCCCCTTCTACACTGCCATATAGAATCCAGATTATCTGCTTTGAACTGGATTATATAGTCCACACTGCCATGTAATCCAGTTCAAGGCAAATAATCTGGATTTTATATAGCAGTGTATAAGGGGCCTCAGGTCCCTTCCACACAGCGGAATTAAATCCCACATTATCTGCTTTAAAATGGAATAAATATTAGTGTGAACTCAGATAACTCAGTTCCAGGAGATATTGTGGGATTTGCTGCCTTGATATTCTGGGTTATATGACTGTGTGAAAATGCCTCTAGAATAATAAGGCAGATAATCCACAATATCTGCTTTGAACTGGATTATCTGAGTCCACACTGACATATATTTATTTATTTATTTATTTATTTACGACATTTATATGCCTCCCTTCTCACCCAGAAGGGGACTCAGAGCAGCTTACAAGATATATATGCATACAATTTATTACATTATTGGCATAGTACAATATATATTACTATATTGTACTACACCATATTATTGTTATATTATTAGTAATATTACATGTAATATAAAATATATAATAATGTTGTATTATTATTAGTATTATATTGCATTATGTTATAATATTATAAATATTAAATGTATATACAATATATTATATTATTAGTAAAGCACAGGAGACAAGATGGAACTGTCTTCAACTGTTCACTCTGGCCAGAACAGTTCAATGTGGATTTTATAATCCAGTTCAATGTGAATTCTATACAGCTGTGTGGAAGGGGCCTTAAAGGGAGACAGAAAAGTGGGAGAGATTTCAGCTCAATCTCCACTGCCATATAATGCAGTTTGAAACTGTATTATATAGTCAGTGTAAACTCATGATGCAACTCAATGTGCAGTTTCAAACTGCATTATAAGAGGGAACAGAGAGAACTTGGAAGCCTTCTTGCAGATATTTGTTTTCCTCTTTAAGTCTCCTTTCTCATTTTGTTTTAGAGGTCAATTGTAAGAAGGGAGAAGAAGGAGTGAGAGGGAGGAAAATATGTTTTCTCTTGCAACTTTCCCCCTCTTTTTTCTGTTTATTATTGTTGCTGTTGTTGTTATTGAAAACATTTTAAAACAAAGTATGAAAGGGTGATACTTTGAGGGTATAGAAAGTAAACGGAGGCTCAAATGGATGACATGGTGTTATGGAAGGCTTTCATGGCCGAAATCACTGGGTTGCTGTGAATTTTCCAGGCTGTATGGCCATGTTCCAGAAGCATTCTCTCCTGACATTTCACCCACATCTATCGCAGGCATCTTCAGAAGTTGTGAGGTCTGTGGAAGCTAGGCAAGTGAGGTTTATATATCTGTGGAATAATGTCCAGGGTGGGAGAAAGAACTCTTGTCCATTGGAGGCAAGTGTGAATGTTGCAATTAATCACCTTGATTAGCATTGAAAAGCCTTGCAGCTTCAAGGCTTGGCTGATTCCTGCCTGGAGTAATCCTTTGTTGGGAGGTGTTAGCTGGCCCTCTTTATTTCATGTCTGGAATTCCCCTGTTTTCAGAATGTTGTTTTTTATTTACTATTCTGATTTTAGAGTTCTTTAGCCAGATTTTGTTCTACACAGAGAAGCCATTGAAATCCACACATGTGTGGACAATTTCAACAGAAAGGAGGAAACCATGAAATAATAATAATAATAATAATAATAATAATAATAAAACATGGCTGTGGCTCACAAATGGAACTCTGAAAAAGGAGACAAAGGAGGGCCTGATTCTGGCAACTCAAGAACAAGCCATTGGAACCAATGCCATCAAAGCCAGAATTGAAAAGTCGACAACCGATCCCAAATGTAGACTCTGCAAGGAAGCAGATGAAACAATCGATCACATCCTCAGCTGCTGCAAGAGGATCGCGCAGACAGACTACAAGCAGAGGCATAACACCATTACTCAGATGATTCATTGGAACTTGTGCCACAAATACCATCTGCCTGCGACAAAGAACTGGTGGGATCACAAGCCAGAAAAAGTTACAGAAAATGAACACGTCAAGCTACTCTGGGACTTCTGGATTCAGACAGACAGAGTTTTGGAGCACAACACTCCTGATCTCATGATTGTGTTAAAAAACAAAGTGTGGATTGTCAATGTTGCAATCCCAGGTGACAGCAAGATTGAAGAGAAACAACTGGAAAAGCTGACACAATATGAGGATTTAAAGATCGAACTGCAAAGACTCT